TAACTTTGCTGAACTTGTTTTATGAGTTCAAACAGTATTTTTTTGTGATTCCTTAGGATTTGCTTTATACAAGATTATGTCTCCTAAAAACAGAGATAGTTTTACATCTTCCTTTCCAACCTGGATGTCTTTTATTTCTTTTTTATCCCTTAATAGCCCTGGCTGGAACCTCCAGTATAATGTTGAATAGAAGCAGTGAGAGTGGACATCCTTGTCTTGTTCTTGATCTTGGGCGGAAAGTGCTAAGTCTTTCACTGTGAGGTCTGATGTCAGCGGTGAAGGCATACCTCGTTTAATTGTGCTTCAGATACTTGTGTTTTTTACAAATGGAAGGATTGTGGCAGTTCTTTGGGCAAGTATGTTGGCTCCATTTTTCCAACAGCATTTGCTCACTTCATGTCTCTGTGTCACATGTTGGTAATTCTTGCAATATTTAAAACGTTTTCATTATTATAATAGTTTATAGTAATCCAGGATCAGATCTTTGATGTAACTGTTTTGGAACCTTTTAAAGCAATAGTCTTTTTTAAATAAGATAGTAAAATTTTTTAGACATAACGCTATCACACACTTCATAGACCATAGTGTAGTGTAAACATAATTTTATAGGCACTGGAAATCAAAAAGTTGGTGTGACTTGCTTTATTGCGATACTTGCTTTTATTATGGTGGTCTGGAACCAGACCGGCAGTATCTTTGAAGTCTGCCTATATATTTTTCATTGATGTACATTATCCAAATGAGGAAGTTCTCCCCCCTCCACCCCATTCTTATTTGTTGAGTGTTTTTATCAAGAAGATCTGCTAGATTTTGCCAGTGTTTTTTCTGCATCTGTTGAGATGATCACATGTTTTGTCCTTTATGCTGTCGACACGGTGTTACTCTGATCTTTAGATGTTAAGCTAACCTTGCATTGCTGGGATAACTCCCCCTTGGCCGTGGTGTATAATCCTTTTGTATGTTCCTTGATTTGATTTGCTAGTATTTTGTTGATGATTTGGGGGTCTATATTCATATTATGTTACACTTTTATCTTCTTGTAGTGTCTTTGGCTTTGGTATCAGGATAATTACTGGCCTCAGAATGAGCTGAGTAGTATTCCTTCTGCTTTTTGAAGGAGTTTGTGAAGATTTGGTGTTAAATGTTTGGTAGAATTCACTGGTGAATTTGGAATTAGGCTTTTTTGGGGGGGAAATTTTTAAATGACTACTTCAGTCTTTTGCTCAGATTTTCTGCTTCTTGAATCAGTTTGATAGAGTGTGTCTTTCTAAGAACTTGTCTGTTTCATCTGAGTTGTCAAACATGGTGAGCAGTTGTTCTTAGTATTTCCTTATAATACAACTTTTTTGGGGGGAAGGGTTATAACTCAAGTGGTAGAGTGCATGCCCCGCACCCAAGAGGTCCGGGGTTCAGTTCCTGTACCTTCTCCAAGTGGAAACCAGTGAAGAAACCTAATCACCTCCCCCTCGTAAAACAAACAAGGCAAAAGAAAAAACCAACTTTTTTTTAATGTAAAGTTGATAGTGTTATTCCCTCCCCAAGCATTTTTTATTTTAGTACTTTGTGTCTTTATTCTCAATTAATGTAGCTAAATAAAGCTTTGTCAATTTTGTTCATCTTTTAGAGAACTACTTTTGGTTTCAATGATTTTTTTTTCTTTTTTAAAACTAAAAAAACTTTTTTCATTTTGAGGGGGGCGTGCTTATTAAGTTTTACCTATCTATCTATCTATTTAATGGCGGTACTGAGCTATTCCTTCCCCACGTTGATTTTTTTAATTGTTTTTCTTTTCCGTGTCATGAATTCCTGCTCTGATCTGTATTCTATCCTTCTTTGCTTTAGGTTTAGTTTGCTCTTTTCCCAGTGTCTCAAGGTGGAAGACTGGGTCATTGGTTTGGGCTCTGTGTGGATTTCCCTCTCAGCGTTGCTTTGGCTGCCTTCCATGAGTCTGGTGTGTTGTGTGTTCATCTTAACGTTCCTTGGGGTTTCTCCTTGTCTTGTGATTCCTTCGGCCCATCGGTTACTTAAGGAGCGTGTTGTCTAACTTCCACATATTTGTGAGTTTCTCAGCTTACATGCTGTTTGATTTATAATTTTGTTCCATTGTGACTGGGGAACATACGTGGCGTGGTTCCAGTCATTTAACGTTTGTTGAGGTTGGTTTTGTGGCCTGGCACCTGGCTGTCCTGGAGAATTGTCGTGTGCACTTGACAAGAGTGTGTATTTTGCTCTTGTTGGGTTGGTTTGCAGTGTTGTTCAAGTCGTCTTTTTCCTTGTTAATCGATTGAAAGTTTTTTCTGGGCGATCTTGACTCCCCCCCAGATCTGATTGGTGCCAGGTGGCGGGACACGATGGGGGTAGGTCACAGCGATTCTCAGGGTTTCGGTGTTACTACTTGTCAGAAGGACGTGGTGCCCCCCGGCGCTGCTCGGGGTTGTTGAAGGCTCGTGGTCACCAGCCCCGGCCTGGCGTCCTGTGCTCCTGTTTCAGCCCCGAGCGGCCAGTGAGCCGCAGCCCCGGCCGCAGGAAGCCGGCCCGCCCCGGGGCAGGGAGACGGCGCCCAGCAAGGGCGAGCCCCAGACCCCGGCCCAGTTCAGAGG